CGTGAACGCGCATGTGCGCGCTTTCAGGAAAATCAAGTGCTGTTAAGGAACAAGATGGAGCTTGGCCATTTAATATGAGTGTCACAGTTTTTTCTTCTGTTTAAGTTTTCTTTTGAGTGTTCAGTTTCACTTTCATCCACGTTTTTCTTTGTTTTCTATTTTTATTGGTTTGATTCCTTTTAGGGGTGGGTATTGGCAAAGAAGTCATGATTCGATTCGAATCACGATTCACATGCCACGATGCGATACTTGAAATGCATCGCAGTATTTTCACTGAACACTGTAAGAAAAAGATACAGCCCTTACCAGTGGCTGACTGGCTGTGTATGATCTGGATAGTGTCTTCAATTGATACAAAACTGAAAGCAACTGAATTCATACATAGCTGTATTTATTGAAATGACTTTTGGAGGTGTCGCCATGAAAACAAATTCTGGACACAAATATTACTGTCGTGGACACACGGACAAAATGATCTTAGGATTCATAAAACTTAAAATAACAAAATAAGGATAATCAGTGCCATTTACATGGCCTCAGTGGTCCTTTAAACCAATGAAATGAAAACATTCAAATATATGACATTTCCCCTTTTGCAAATGATGTGCATCATATCAATTTCGTTTTTACCTTCTTTGTTTTTAAAGCTAAAATGCATCCAAGCATCTGACTTGAAATGTGATGGAGCCCGGGGGGCGAATTTTCTCAGTCTCCTCCATATTTTGTATACGAATGACTTGTCTCAGTATCCCGCGGCCGGAAATGCTTGTGACACAAGGCAGCTGGCTTTAACACATCCGCAGCGACATCTGCTGGACTGGAAGTTGTATTCCACTTGATTTGGCTGATGTGCGCCAACCATTAATGTATTTTATTTGTTCATTTTTTTTTTTTTTATAATCGATTCTTGCCTTCAAGAATCGATGCAGTAGATCACAAAAATTAGAATCGTGATGCATCGTCATGACGATTATTTTGCACACCCTTAATTCCTATTTTGTGGTGTTTTCTAGATCTATTTGAGTTCCTGGGTGTTTCCGGGTGCCCTCTGTTTCCCTCTTGTGTTCGTCTCCTTTCCACCTAGCTCTTTTCTAGACTCCTCTCTTCACACCTGCACCCAATCACCTCATTAGTCCTGTCTTTGTTCTGTCTTCTATATATACTCTCCCTGTGCAGTTCCTCAGTGCTGGTTCCTCATCTTTTCCTGGCTCCCCAAATGAGTTTTCCCCTGAAGTTGTCTGGTTTTTGGTTCTTGTACTTTGGTTTTTGGATTTTTGCCTCAGTTATTTCATTACATCTACAAAGACTCACTTCTGCCTCCTAACCTCTGCATTTGGGTCCTCAAAACCTCGACCCAACCGTGACAAAAATAGAAATTAAAGCAATAAAATTAAAAAAACAAAGAAAAACATGGATCAAAGTGAAACTGAAAACTTCCAAGAAAACTTTTTCTCTCAAAACCCACCATTTTAAAGCGTTTACAACTAATAACTCAGAATGCGTGAAAATTCCACCGGTAAAATGTTTACCAATATAGACATGTTAGTGTTAGGTTCAGAACTCTTAAATAAAGATGAGACACAAGACACGGGTTCCGTTTTACGCTTCTGCAGAAGGGAGAGAGCACACAGGAAGCTCATTCAGAAAACTCTCTGCAGCTCTCCCTCCGCATCCCATTTATGTTAGAAAGCAAACACAACGTGGTTACACTCTCAGCCAATAGCAAAGCAGTACACATCTCATCCAACCAAAATAGCTGAAGTTTTGCTCATCTTCCTCGTGACAACAACACTTCTTGAAACTCAGTTTACAACCACAAAAGTTACACCTTCGTTTAGCTGGTCATGCAAGGCGT